GTCTGGTCATGGTGGCACTTGACTGTAGTCCCAGTGCTGGGGAGGGTGAAAACATGAGGAATACTAGAAGTCCAAGTTGCATAGTGAGAGCCTGAACCAAAAATATAAAAATGAAAAAGAGAAAGAGCAGAAAAAGAAAAGAAAAAAAGAAACTAGACAGAGGGATGGAGTAGTTGGAAATCTGCAGGGACAGACAGCTTCAAGAAGAGTAATTTTTTTTTTTTTTTTTTTTTTTTTTTTTTTGGTGGAACCAGGGATTGAACTCAGACCCTTGTGCTTGCCAGGGAAGTGCTTATTTCTACTGAGCCATCTCCTGGGCCCCTAAGAAGAGTAACATGATAGGATATTACCAAGGGAGATGGGGGAAGAGAAAAGGATGAAAATGTAGAAACTAACCAAGAAATAAAATAATAAAGCCAAAATACCAATTATTAATTCTAGGGAAGACATAAGTGGTACAGACAAATATTAATCATGGCGCACTGTGAACAGCATTTATTGTGTTATGATCTCATAAAAATCTTTAGAGCATATGAGAGCAAAAGCATAGGCAACAAAAAGAAAAATTAGACTATACCAAAATTTTAAAGTTTTCAAATCAAAGGTCACAATCAACAGAAGGAGAAGGCTACCCACAGAATGGTCAAATGTTTCTACCATATATCTGATAAAAGATTAGTATCCAAAACCAGACCAGGCATGGTGGCACATACCCATAATCTCATCTATGCTGGAGGCTGAGGCAGGAGAATTGCAAGTTTGAGGTTAGCCTGGGCAACTTGCCAAGACTCTATCACAAAATAAAACAAAAAAAGGGCCAGTGAGACAGCTCAGTGGACTAAAGCGCCTGCTTAGGCAAGCTCAGGCAAGGGACTGAGGTTTGATTCCAGGCACCACATGCTGCACCCGCCTTAGGCCTGCCAGAGTCGGGCATGGTAGCACAGGCCTGGAATCCCAGTGTTGGTGAGGCTGAAAACAGGAGGATCACTATGAGTCTGAGATGTGTAGTGAGACGCTGTAACAACCAAATACATTAAAGAAAAACAAACAAAAAAACAAAAAGAAAACAAAGCCACTGATGTAGCTCAGTGCGAGGCCTTGGGATCAATACCTGCCATGCCAGCCCCGTGGTGGCACAAGCCTATAATCTCAGCTCTTAGGAGTCTGTAAACAGGTGGATCACTACGAGTCCAATCTAGTAATGAGACCCTGAATACCCTGTAGACCCTTCCCTAAAATACAACAACAACAACAACAAAAATTAGTTTAACTAGCAAGGTATTTTCCCCATTGTATAGGTTGTCTCTTCACTCTGTTCTTTTGCAGTGTGGAAGGTTTTTAATGCAATCTCATTTGTTGATACTTGGTACTATTCCCTGTGCAATCAGGATTCTATTCAGAAAGTCCTCGCCTACACCTCTGACTTCAAGAGTATTACTTATTTTGTCTTCCAGCAGGTTAAGTGTCTCTGCTTTAACACTTAGATCTCTGGTCCATTTTGATTTTAATTTATCACATGGGTGAGAGATATGAGTCTAGATTCAGTCTACTTCACGTGGACTGTAAGTTTTCACAATATCGTTTATTAAAGAGGCTCTCTTTCCTCCAGCATATGTTTTGGGCTGCTTTGTCAAAGCTCCAATAGTTGAATAGTTGAATAATTGTAATTCTTTCTGCCTCCTGTATTCTGTCACATTGATCTTCTTGTTTGTCTCTGTGCCAGTACCATGCTGTTTTTATCATAGTAGTTTTGTAATATAACTTTTTTTTTTTTTTTGTCAGAACCGAGGATTGAACCTCTGGCCCCGTGCCTGCTTGACAGTGCTTTAATCCGCTGAGTTATTTGACAGGCCCTAAAGTAATTTTTTCTTTTTGCAGAACTGGGGATTGAACTAAAACCCTTGCACTTGCCAGGGAAGTGCTTATTCCACTAAGCCATCTCCCCAGCCCCTATAAACTAATTTTTTTAAGGATTGATCTCCCTGGCCCCTCTAAACTAATTTTTTTAAGGAAACCTTTTCAAATTACTTAGTCACAATCATATTAGGAGAAAGGCAAGAGCTGGACTCATTGAGTATGTGTCTCTCTGATGTGCACGGGCTTGGGGTGTTGGAGTGTATGTGGCAGAGCTAAGGCCTCAGCATCTTCACAATGGGAAGCCAAAAGACAGTGTCTAAAACTGAAGATTGAGAACCAGAAGTAAGTGTAGTATTTAATTTCATGGAGGTATGTACCAAAAAATTCTGCTAAGGGTTGACAGCAGTTGCTCTGAGGAGAGGGAGATGGAGGTGCAGAGTAAATGAATTAAGTTTTTTTAATACAAGATTCTTTAAACTATCCAGAAGTAACACTTGGATTTTTAAAAAAAGAAATAAACCAAAACTAATCCAAACCCAATGCAAATAAATAATTGCTGAGCCTTTCCTGGAAGGCTCTATGTCACAGGCTGTGGGTGCACGGGGCCTAGGCCAACCTGAATCACTTGCTGCCATGAGTGGGGGGCTCAGAGCTCCTGCCCTGTATTCCCTTTCCCAGAACAAGAGCTGATGGCCCTTAGAGGAAGGAGAAAAGTCTGCAGGGGCAAAGTTCCCTGTTTACTTGCATAGCCAGTGATTTTAACATGTACTGGAAAAATGTGATTAGCATATCAAACCTGGAGATTACTGCTTAGGATGAAGCCAAATTCATTAAATGAAAGGATTTAAGAAAAATACAGTCAGTCCTTCATATCCATGGGTTCCACATCCTCAGATTCAATCAACCATGGATAGAAAATATTACAAAAAATTGTGCCTTACTGAATATGCACAAACTTTCCCCATGCCATTATTCCCTAAACAATACTCACAACAATTACTTACACAGCATTTACTTTGTATTAGGCATTCTAAATATTCCACAGATGCTTTAAAGTATATCAGGAGTATACACGAAAGTCATACACAAGTACTACAGCATCTTTTGCCGTAGACTTCAGCATCCATAGATTTTAATGTCCCTGAGAAGGGAGTCTGGGACCAAGCCCCCTCAGATACCAGGGGACAACCGCTCTTGGGGGCCAGCAGTGGAGACAAATGGAAATGGAGAGAGTATTCCAGTAAAGTAGGAATGACTGAAGACGTAGGAAACACTGGCCTAGTTTAATCCCTTGGGTTAGGACTCAGGACCCCAATCCTGCAGCAGAGAAGAGAGGGAGAGAGGAGGGGGAAAGGACCCTCCCAGTGTCTTATAGAAAGACAGTGGAGGGCTGACCTGTGGAACCATGAAGTACAGAAGTAGTGAAGGAAAGGGTCTGAAAAGACATTTGGAAATCTTCCTTGCTCTCTGTTGGATCAACTATCCTGATGCCACGAGGACACTCAAACAGTCCTATGGAGGGATCTACATGGTGAAAACCCGAGTCCTCCTGCCAGCCACCAACAAGGACTCACATGGCAAGTGCATGCTTTGTCTCCCAATGAAGCAACATGCTGGCAGGCATGGGTCTTGCCTATTCTTGCCTGTTCTACACTGCATCCTTCAGCCTTGAACAGTGCTGACACATAGTAGGGCCCTCTGTCTGTTGATAGTCTGTCTCCCCACCACGCAGGGCCTTCCCTGGGGCTGGCAGCATGTCTGATTCACTTTAACACTCTCAGGCCCAGCACAGGCAAAGTGAATGAGGGAGTGATCAGGACATGGAAAGGCAAAGTGGCAGGCATACCCTGGGTCTCCTGGTCAGCAATTTAGGGGAGCCGTGGGGCTTGGAGTATGCTAGGACAGGGGAGAGGTGGGCAGATTAACGGGGGCCCTGGTCCTGTTTGGAGGCCCACACGACGCTTCCAAACCTCTTTCTATTTTGAACTCAGACCCTTGAGCTTGCCAGGGAAGCACTTATTCTGAGCCATCTCCCCGGCCCCTCCAAACCTCTTTCTAAAAAAAGGGTTGTGGTTGGGCCAGCTCACAGGCGGCCGGAATCGTCCCGCCTCCGCTCTTAAACTTCGAACTTGGAGATGATGAGGTGGGGCTACAACTCCGAAGAGAAGGCGCGCTTTCATTTGTATTGATGCAGGCCGGCCGATGCCCTCGGTGTGCGGCCCCTAGCGGCCGGGATGGCGCATCCCTTCTGTGGGCCCAGTTTCAGGTCCACCTTTCTCTATCGCAGTTAGGTTTACGTTGCCGATCTGTCTGCCTCTCTGGCTCGACGGGTGCAAAGTTCTAAGTGTAGGTGAACGAACAGTCTGTGCGCCTCACCTTCTTGACCGTGACCACAGAGGGTGCAACGTGGGCACAAAAGCAGCTCCAGGTCCCCAGGCGATGACTAGCACAGGGATCCTGACCTGCACCCCAGCTTCCTGCTGATCACGAACATCTTGGCGCCCAGCCTTGTGCCCGCACACATCGCGCAGGCCTGTGCACCCCGCAACATCATCTTCCCTCCCGCCTCGGCTCTCTACACATTTCTCAGCTTCAGATCGTGTCGCCTCCTCCAGGAGGCCCATGCTGCTTCCCTCGGACTTGCTATCTGCAGGGAGAGGGGCGTCGCCTGGCTTATCTCTGCATCTGCAGCTCCCCAGCGTTCAGGCTGCCGGGCGGGGGCACTGAAGCAGCCGCTGAGGGAGGGAGGGAGGGAGGGACCAGAGACGCTCGGGAGGCGGTGGCTGGAGGAGCGTGGGGCGGAGGCGGAGGGAGGACGGGAGCGCGCGCGCCGGCGGCGGCCGCCCAGGGCCCGGGC